GTGAGGAAATTAAAGGGCAGTGTCACTGAACCCCATGGGACCTGCTCAGTGACCTGTGGGGGCAGATCCTAGACTTGAGGGAAGGGGCAATGTTGAATTCCACCCCACCTTTCTCCCTCCCAGGTCTTCAACTTTGCTTTGATAGAACCCCTTTAGCTTTCAGTTCCCAGAGCCTGCCTAATCACCTCCCCAGTCATCTCTAACTCACACTTCACAAGTTCAGCTTCCAAGGAAAATGGGAAAAACACCTATCTCTGGGGTCCTCCACCTCCACTTCCTACTTTTCCTTTAGACCCTACCTACAATATTAGCTTTTCTTGCTTTTACTCTTATAAGGAGCCCTGAGGATGCAGTGGTACAGTGCTCAGCTGTTACTGGAAAGGTCAACGGTTCAAACCCACCAGCCGCTGTGTAGGAGCCCGATCACAGTCTTGGAAACCCTATCGGGTAACTATGAGTAGGAATCCACAAGGTTTTTTTTTTTTTAGGTTTTTACTTCCTTATTTTGGAATACACCTTAATATTTAAGAGTTTCAACTCAACTTTAACTTCTCCGACTCTTCCCCCCAGGTCTCCTTTGTCCTACGTGCTACCCCTCACTTCCTCGTTCCCTCTCAGGCCTCGCCTCTCTAGTCCCCCTCCAACTCCAGTCTTTATCCCTCACCTCATACCCCGCCCCTTAATTTTCTCTCCCTCAAGACACTTCCCAACCTCTGCTCACAGCCCAGGTCTCTAAGACTCCGCCTCCAGCCATCTTTCTAGTCCCGCCTAATCCTTCAAGCCGGATCGGTCCTAGGCTCTCGCGGAGAGTGGCCTGTGACGTCTCTGTGGTCTCGACCCGTTTCCCGAAACCATCGCCCGTACCAATCCATGAGGCTGAAGTAATCTCGAGCGGGGTCGGGTGGCTGTAACGCGCGGCACTGCGGGCAGAAGAACACATTCTCGCGCACGGGGGCCCCTGGGCCGCCGCCGCAGTTCCAACAACGGGGGGAGCTGCTTCGGGCCTGCGACTCAGCAATGCAGCTTAGTGGTCTCCTCCCGGGAACCCATGCTGGACATAACCCCCAGACCCGGAACAAGGCCTCGACCCTGCAGCTCCACATCTGGCCCACGGCCTATCTAGCCGCGGTCATCCGAGGGGAAAAGGGTAGTGAAAGAGCGACCAAAGTAGTGCTGCTGATTGGCTGTAGAACTGGGGGTGGAAAAACCTGGATTCTGTGTTCCGCTTTGCGTTCTAAACTACAAGTCCCAGCAGGCACTGAGGCCACACCGTGACGGCCACATCCACTGCTTGTCATTGGCCGGGCGTACTGGAGGGTGTCTTTGATTGGCTGAGGGAGGAGTTTGTATTACATCTTTAGCGCCACTCCGCTGCGGCGAGTGTGCTGCTCCGGGTGGGCTCGTAGGGTGAGTCATAGTGGGTTTCTTGAATCCTTGGGGGTTCGAATCCGGTCCTCCGAGTTTTACGCGCACAGTGCGTATAGTCCCTGGAGCTTCCGCTTTGTCGCATTTGAGCTCCCGGGAGTGAGGAGTCGGGTGCGTGGGCGACTCTCTTCCTTCTTTGTAGATCAACTTCGAGGTGAAATTTAATTTTCCTCGTGATTTACAAGCTGCTACTGGCCCAGACCTACGAGATGGGAAGTTACAAAGTTGTGCTGTTCAGAAATCAGAGTGAAGTTGCTTTGTAAAGAGTTCTATGATTAATCATTAATTATTACTTAATAATTATTGCCGTAATTTAAATTCAATCTCTTATTTGTGGCGAACCCACTCTTAGCTGCCATGCGTTGCGGGAAAGAGAAACTTCCTGACCTGTGTATATATATGTGTGGCGGGGGGCGGGGAATGCCCTGCGAGTGGCCTTAAAGGGATGAGGCGGAGGGGAATGGGCAGTGGGCATCAGACTTCTTTGGGACTCAGTTTCTCAACTGAAAAAAGATTGTGTTGCACATGTGAGGCTTTTTCTGGCTGTAGGATTCTGTTTACAGTCACTGGGATTTGCTACAGTCATTGTGGCCTTTCATTTCCCACTCTGTATGGCATTCTAATAGAAATAGCTCCCAATTATGCATTAGTGGGGGCTGACATTATATGAATTACTTCATTGAATCCTCACTGTCTGCTGTTTTCACACGAGTAAACTGAAACTTAGAGAGATTGAGACCTGCCCAGTGTAATGCAAAGATTTGAGTCAGGCTTTTCACGCCAA